TATATAGTATATATATATATATATATATATATATATATATATATACGTGCTAATCGAACATATAGTACACAGGTACATACACCTATAACATAAATGATCACGGTCATCAGTAGTATACCAATTACTCACCACGAACACAGATCAATACATACTCCGTATATTCTGTTCTCATCCGAAAGTACAAGTGAAAGGTATTTGCAAAGTATATACCTTGCGCTTCTTGCTGGCTGCATTGTCTCGCACGCCCACACTGTCGTTGTGGACATCCATGGCCATTTGAGCGGCTCTCACTTTGGCGTGGATGGCATCTACATCTTGTTTTTCTTTGCTCTCTCTTTCCTTTTCATTGAGAACGTCTCGTCTTACACTCAGAGCCTTTGCATCCAAATTCGCCAGAAACCGAGTTTGCTTTATATCTAATTCCTCTAACCCCTCCATATTATCATCCTGCTCTGAATCATCCTCACTCCCATCAGCAGTGACAGCCGGTATGCTTACATACATTGCCGCATGTTTCTTCTCTGCCGCGGTTTTCTTGGACTTATTGGACGTCGGCTGAATGTATGGATCTAATTGATCGCCGGGTGCGGCACCCCCTTTCTTCCCCTTTTGCGACGGCTTTTTCTTTGCTGCAGTGCCCTTTTTCTTGAGACCACCTCCTCCGGGCCCATCTTTAGTCTTGCCTGCTCCTGCAGACGATTTTCTTACGCCCATACTGTTCTCTGACTTTGGTTATATCTATAGTACTGACTACTATATAGCACAAGCCTTTAAAAGTGAACTCTGCAGTTTTATTAAAGCCTTGTGATTATATGGCACTATAATATTCATGTGATAGTCTACGCTGGAACAACTTGTAGTCGTATGCTAAGGACGTCAGTACGTGCAGATGTGGTCTGCCGTGCGTATGCGATCCTGCACACCTCGTCGATGTGATTGTGATAAAGCTGATAACCATTTTTACGCACGTGACTGCGTCATTGATTTTCTTGGGTTATAGGGTTATTTGATTTTGTCCAAAATACAATTTCAGCATTTCAAAGCATAGCCCTCTAAATTATAAATACATGCACAGCCCGTTTTTATTTATTTTTAGAAATGTAAATATTTATATTTTTCATTCGTATGTATTTTAGTAGTCATCACGACCGGTCTAGGCGCTTTTCTTATATTTATCTATTTTGTAACTGATGATAAAATAAATCGTTATTTCGTACCAATTTTCTGCTTCATTTAGATTATAGAGGGTTAAACAGTATACCCGTTTCATACTGTAAAATACAGTATGGAGCAAGTGTGTACCCAGTAACCATGTTATTATTGGCTATTTTACTTTATATGGAGTTTAGGAGTGGGCCCAGTGTGGGCCTTCAAGTATTTATAAAAAAGCATCACCAATCAGACAGTCAAATGTTTAAAATACTCGGTGGTCGGTCGTTTGAAAAACAACAACAATCTATTTTTTAACGAAAACAAACTCATCATAATCTTGCTCATCATATAATAATAATATAGGCAGACATAGGAATAAAAACATAACAATTGAAAAACAAAACAAAATGTATAAAAATATATTTAAAATATATTTCATGCGACAGGATATTTACATATTTACCAACATTAGTAGTGTATCACTCCTACCCGATAATGGATATATTTTTTACACAATGTGTATTCACACTTTCACAGGCTGGTAAAAATAACCTTTTACCGATAAATCTGTTTACCATCCCAGCATACTAGCGCATTAGCATTTATGTGGCTTTATTCAAGCTTCAGCAGCGGATGAAATATGGCGTCCGGCCCGTGTAAAATATAGTCCAATGGCGTATAGCATCTTCATTTTTTAGCCCTCATCTGCCCTCACATCGGCAAACCAAACATCGATTCCCCGTGAGCGCTCATCGCTTGTTGTGTAGATGGACTGTTCTATTGGCTTACCCAAGAAGGAAGCTTCAGTTTGCTTTCGTAATTCTGATCGTATGTATTCCGATACCTTCGTAGATTTTCTGCACTGCATTCCATGAGTCCAGACTAGTAGCGGTTTTATTTCCTACTCTAATCAGTAAGGGCGGTTATCTTGGGGTGCAACCGTGTTATCTTTGTATCTGACACTTAGTATTTGATGGTGAAACAGTATTTGATAGTGAAACCTATCAAAGTTTGTTTATTTCACTGTGTATATAGGACACAAAATATTTCAAGTTCCTATCATTATCATCTTGAACACAACAGAATCGTCTACAACAAACTAGTACACGAAACAAACTTGACTACACTACATTTAATCTATTGGAGACATCAGAAAATTTCAATTGCGACACAGAAGGTAAAATGCACGCCAAGTTATTATTATCATGCGTGGTAGCTGCACTAGCAACTATCGCCTCGGCAATGCCTGCACAATCTCTCGCGGACCTTGGAATACCGGTATCCGGGGCGCAACTTGAAGTAAATAATGCCGACAACCGCACCGGTGAAAGCCCACAGAAATGGGCTGAGAAAAGCGGACCTTGGCCCGAGTTCACCTATGTGAAGAGACAGGATAGAAGACGTAAGCGCAGACTTCTTTCCGAGAGTATTCCTCAGGCAAAGGACAGTGGCCAGCATGTCAAGGCCCGTTCTTGAACAATGCCATCTAGTCCGCAATTTCTATCTTGGAGTTGCATTAGCAACATACTGGAGGGTAAAAGTGCACTTCCATGTGATCATAGAAACCTGGAAATCTGTTCGTGGAAGCTGGACGACGCGACACTTTTCAGTATTTATGTACATTTAGTCTGTGATTATGTACAAAAATAAATCATAGAATCATTCACTTTCTTTGGTATAATGTATTGAAAAGTGTTATAGCGGTTAGTACACGTGTGTGGTTAGTACTCGTCTTTCGGATTATCAATAGCCTAATTTCAATCGGTTTGGTCGCATTCGTTCATTTGTTTTTGTTCATGGCGCTGAGCTTGTAAGGAATAGGTTCATGCAATAGAGCGATGTCCATATAAACGCATAACACACACTATTGAACACCACTTCATTCCTATAATAGAAGGATGAATTGAATATACTAAAGTTGCACAATAAGTATTACCTTTTGATTGAATATGCTAAGAATTGTATAAGTATTATACTTTCTAGTGAATCTTTTTGGTCATAGATTTTCATTGCGGTGACTGATATTTAATCGTGGATAGTCTCATGTATGGCAAGAAGGAAGGAACTGTAGTCAATGGCGTATTTATTTTATCTCGTGCAGATAAAGATGCAAAGGGATTATCAGAAATATATCGGTGCCTGAAGTTCAACTTGCGGTGTACACACGACAGGACTTGGAACCTCATTACGTTTGGATACTACAAAGTTTACAACTGTTACTAAAATTCAGTGCCATAGACATGGCCGATTGCTTGCGTATGCTTGTGAGACCCTCTACAAAGACCAGACATGGCAAACTAAATAAACTAGAGATGCTGCGTTTGGATGAAGCTAGAGATTTGCCATACCACCATAAATGAAATCAATAATTACGAGTTATGTGAAATCGAGATATAAATGAGTACATCGTCTTATTTTGTATGCTTTTTATTATGTATGAATGTATTTCTCAAGCTATTGCCGTCTTGTTACGTACTTTTGGATATAAACAATACGTTACTCTCAAGCTATTACAGTCTTAATACACACTTCTGAATATAAACATCACATTACTCTCAATATATTGCCGTCTTGGTGTACACTTTTAAATATGAACAGCACGTTAGCTATTGCCGTCTTGATATACATTTTCGAATATAAACGGGAGAAATGTAAACTTTAGGAACATACTCGCAAAGACTCTATTGCCCGTGTGCCTCGGGTACTCAAACTCAGTGGTGGGCAATACACCTCGGTGTTCACTGTCCTTACAAGTTGGCAATCAAATTTTTAAAGTAAGACCACATTGAAATCTTATGTGCATTCATTTATGTGGTCGGACAGACATTAAAGTACGCATCTGCGTATAATTCAGATGTATAGTACGATCTAAATAGCGCTTTAAATTTGTCAAATGCGAGAACTACAAGGCGTGTACTTGTCCTATGCAAGTACCGACATTTCCTCATACGCTTACGTATAGTGCTACCCATAGGTATCCCGTGGGTATATATGTCGATTAGTATTGGGTATATATGCCTATGAGTGTATATCGATTATTGATACAATGATCAGTTGTATTTTATTTTGAATTGTATATATTTCATCACTCGCATCTGTCGGATAGATCTCACTTGCAACAGAATATGTATCTATTGCAGTTTGTCATCAATGCCTACGAATGTAGTACGTCTCGACCCAATCGTGACCATAAAAGGAGTCCAGATTTTGTTCGGGTCGAACTGAAGACTGCCATTTTATCACATACAACCCAACTTCTAACTAGTTCTACTATATTTAACCTTCCTTAATATTTAACCTTGGACAACGACGGATGCATAATTTCAAGCTAGCGATCAGAATCAGGCTTACATCCTTTTAAAATGGAAGCATGTGTCAAGGGTAATGAAAAGATAACACCGGTGCCAGAATATCTGGACCTTATTTTAAAAAGTACTTTTTTGAAGAGAATAAACGCATCTCTCCAAAGTACTGACTATTTAGTATTTACACACACCCGATACACCGAGTACTCATGGAATTGATCGAAAGCAAACTTGGAACTGAGAAACTTGTTGGTGCGGCGGAGCTGGCAACTCCGGCTGATGTCACTGATTACCACCGCCCACCAATCAGTGGACGTGTTGGAAATCCTGATTTGGGATTTCACACTGACTGATTTTTAGAAACTATGTGTCATCGATTTTCTCAATTTGCACTGTATTTGGTAAAAATACCAACGAAATCAAAGCCGTATTATATATACCATTTTGATCTGGGCTGTCTCTCTAATAACTACCACACATATTTATAGCAACATATTAGCGTGTACATACAACATATTGAGACTACTATCACAAGCAAACTATAGCAAAGCTTAACCTCGCAAGTATGGCAGAGCCAACCTCATTAGTAGTGAAAAATGAGGGCAGCGATAACCTTCCCATAACCATCTCTGTGTCTTCAGGGCTATCTATAAGCTCAGCCGCTTCACCCAGAATCGATGGCACAATTTCACCGAGTTCATCAATGAATGAGCTGCACATGGCATACATGGAGGTGAAGGATGTGAGTGTGCAGATGAATGCCAAGAATACCAGTGTATACGAACTCACGGGCACGCAGGGCATGCTGACTACAAACACCATGCGCCATGTCGAGTTGCAGGCCAGGGATATAGCCCTTGCTGGTGTGCAGTGGTACTATCAGGTTTGTGTGGATATGATTGAACAAC